ATACACCATACCACACCTTACTATACCACACCATACCATACCACACCATACCACACCATACACCATACCACACCACACTATACCACACCATACCATACCACACCATACCACACCACACCACACCACACCACACCATACCACACCACACCTTACTATACCACACCATACCATACCACACCATACCACACCATACACCATACCACACCATACACCATACTATACCACACCATACCATACTATACCACACCATACACCATACCATACCATACACCATACCATACTATACCACACCATACACCATACCATACTATACCACACCATACACCATACCATACTATACCACCATACCATACTATACCACACCATACACCATACCATACTATACCACACCATACACCATACCATACCACACCATACACCATACCATACCATACACCATTCCACACACCATACAATATACCATTTTCTATACCACACACTATACCATACCATGTGTTATGGTAATATTTATCTAATACACATACTATACCATACCATATACCATGCAATACCATATATACCATACCACACCATAACATACCAGTTTTACTTATGAAGAACTTTGAACAACCGCAGGGCCAAAGTGATTTAAAGTATAAGTAAAATACATAAAAGCTGTCAGTTGACATAAAAAATAAAATAGGTCAAATAAAAAACTAAAATAATTGCAATAATAAAATAAATAAAACAAAAAAACATCACTTAGATTAAAGTGAAAGGTAATAAACCACATGGTTCTAAAGGTCAAGGAAAAGAGACTGTTTTAAACACAGAGATGAAGCCTAGATTTTGATGTAATAATTTATAATAACTAATTTCACAACAGAATGTCTTTAAATTAGACTGCTCATTTAAAGATAATGATTTTTGGTAAAATCCATAGCCACTATCTAATAAATTGATTTGAGTATTTGGCATGATGTTTATAGTTGTCAAACAGTTTGATCTGATACTATTAAAGTCTTTTTCAGTTGTTTGCATTTCTTACGTCTGGTTGTTTTACACCAGGAGAAAACGCTTGTTGAGCATCAACATGTCCGACAGCTGTGGGACAGATCTGCAGCTGTGTGTGTGTGTATGTGTGTGTGTGTGTGGGCGCGCGCGTGTAGGGGTCGTCCGTTGGCAGGAAGCAGTAGGCAGCGAGTGATGTGGTCAGACCCTCTGTCACCATTGAGAGGGAGAAAGAGAGCCCTGTGTCTCTGCCTTTTCGTCTTCTTCCTGTTGGTTGTTTTCATTTCCTGACCATTATTCTTCATTAAAGATTAACAAATAAATAAACATATTTTTAAAAATGCAAACAGATGATGTCTCGTTTGATCACCACTAATGATTTTAGGGTTTCTGACAAAATGAAAGCAGTAACAGTGTGACTTTAAGGTTTACAGCTGAGAAAAATGCGAAGTTTTTTCACAAAAAATGTGATTTGGGGATTTGTTTCCAAATAGCAAAGCCTGAGTATAAAAGTAAAAGTTGAAGGTAGGTTTTACAAAACTGTACCGAACTTTCCTGCAAAGTTTAAAAGCATTTTATTTTTTTAAACTAAACCAAAAACGAACAGATTAAAAACGATCACCAGTTGTTTTATCTCATTTTACAATTCTTATTTTAAATATGGAATTATTTAATTTGTCCTTCCTGTCTGACTTTTCTTTTCAAGATATAATTTTCTTTTCACGTCAATTTTTGTCCTTATTTAGACACAAGAACCTCATATTTTGTCGTTAGAGAAAAGCAAAATGAAATTTAAATAAAACCCTAGAGAGGGAAAAAAAAAACCTTGACGAACAGTTTATTTTTTAAGAGATTTATTTTCTTTTAGAGTGAAAAAAAAGTTGATTGAAATGTAATGGAAAATGCAGAAAGAGGGGCGAGTGTGGAAAAATGATTTTTGTAAATATTGTGCAAATCAAAGAGAAGAAGGAGAGTGGAGGCTGAGGGGAGGTGAGTGAGTAGGAGGTAAATGAAGGGAGTCGGGGGGACAATTAGACGGGAATTTCCAGTGTTAGTAAGAGAGTGAGCTTTTGTTATAACAGAGTGAGGGAGAGCTTAGAGATTTTTGTACTTTTGTGTTAAATGGGGGGGGAAAAAGCTAAATAAAAAAAAATATTACCGAACCAAAAGAGTGAAAAAAAAAATCAACTCTGGTGGCAAGTTTTGACTACAGTCTAGGAAATACAAACAAATTACTTTAGATGAAAATGTAAAATAAAATCTTGCAATAAAGGCTTGAGGTTTACTTTAAAGGTGCAAGTCTGAGCAGAGTGATAATAAAATAATATTACAAGCAAATTAAAATTAAATTGTGCCGGAGAAATCTTGAGTTTTTGCACAATTCAAATGTCATTATCTACGTCCAATTTTAACACTTAATGTCAACCAAATTTATGTTTTTAGCTTTTATTGTAATTTCAAAACCCAAAAGAGCTGTTCTTCTAACAGTGTAATTTAAAAAAATACACTTAATGCATTTGTGTTGTATTGATGTTTTCGGATTGATTTGAAGCAAATCAAACAAATGGCATCTTTCCTAAAATGAACAGGACTTTACTTCCAGTTTCTATAGATGCAGATGCTCAGAGTTCATTTATGTAAGTCAGAAAAAAGTCCGTCCATCTCCGCAAACATTATGCCAAATCCAACTGAAGCATTTGGGAAACATTTTGTACAAAATGTTTATTTTTGTTGTAATTTTTTTGGAAAGAGATGCTTTAATTTCTGCAACAGGAAACTATAATGGGGACATGACGACTGATCCCACCTGCAAAAAATTGTGGCAGTTTTTACTTTTAATTAAAAACATTTCAATTTAATAATTTCTCCCTGTTGGTTTAAATCGTTTTAGCATTTTTTTTAGCGTTCGTGGGTGCATGGCATTGAAATGTTTCTTTATAAAGCAAAACAAAAAAAGAAGGAAAAGGAATGAGAGAAGGGGAAAGGGGTTGCTGATGAAGAGGAGCTAAAACAGAGAGTGAATTAAAAGAGAGGAGCAGAGAAATGTTTAAAAGCTGTAGAGGAGAGTGAGCGAGCACTCTTTCAAGTTTTACTGCACAACCAACAAGAGCAGATCAGTTCTGCCCCCTAGAGGTAGTGCACACAGTGTGTGTGTGTGTGTGTTTCATTGTGTTATCATGGGGAAGAGAGGGACATCCTGTGACAATGACTCAACGCTTTCCTGCCAACACACACACACACACACACACACACACACACACACACACACACACACATAAAACAGATGCATTTAGATCAGTTATTTACATTTTTGAAATTGCTAACAGACATCTCTTCTACAAAAAAAATCTGAAACACACACACACACACACACACACACACACACACACACAGAGAGAGAGAGAGAGAAAATGAGATTATCATCTACAGAAATCAGTTCCAAAGAAAATGTGAAGTTTTATTTTCATTTTGTGTGTGTGTGTGTGTGGCTGTGAGTCATGCCTCAGGTGAAAGCGCCTGGTGCTGCTCCTCAGCGGAGGAGGAGGGGCCAGGGTTAAGAAGTTTTGGTGGGTGTGGCTTTCAGCGAGAGAAAGACAGAGCAAGAGAGGGAGAGAGAGAGGGACAGACTTACTAAGAGAGATGTTGATTCTGTGAGGCATTTGAAAACAGGAATTCAAGTGGATCACACACACACACACACACAAATACACACTCCTGCGCACGGACACTTCAGTGCTCACAGAGTTACGCCGGAGTGGAGTATCAGCACTTGGAGCAAGAAGAGGAGAACTGCACCTGTCTTCCACACACACTCCTGTCCTCACACACACACGCACATACCCAGAGAGGATCTCGCTGGTTGTCCCTATGTGTGGATGGGACCAAAGTTACACGGTGAGTACAGAGCAGAATTTAATGTGTAAATATAGCACAGAAAACTGACTTTTTATGCTCTTTAAACACTTTGATTTGATTGCTTTGACTTCTTTTACTTTGGAAAAAGTTGAGCTTCAACTGAAAGCAAGAAAAACGTTTGAATTTCAGTTTGTTCAAATCTTAATTCTCATTTTACAAACAATCAGGCTAAGTTCTTGCAAGTTTTGGTGACTGTTTCTGAAATTCTGAAGAGGTTTTTTACTTCAGCTCCAGTGTTGAGACTGACATGACTTTGACAAGATCAGATTATGTATGAAAACTGCTGCTTCGCTTTGAGTTTTTAAGATCTTTTATGGCTGAGTTCAGGGGGACTGGTTCAAAGCTGCAGGCATTTTATGCACACTTGAATAAATTAATCTTGGTTTGTATTCAAGTATTGGTTTCAAGTATTGGTTTGTATCCAGTCAAATTTCAGTAGCTTCTTTTCAACATAGATTTTAAAAAAGGAAAACCAATTTTTTTGCAGATTTTCCCTGATTTGAGAACTCTGCCTTGACTTTTTAAAGTTCACATTAATCTGAAATCCCTCTGAGTGCAAACTCAGCTTTTATGTTTTCAGTTGGTCTAAATGCACAGGAGATGAATTGTTTCTTGATTCTTGGTTTCATTATTAGTTTTCGACACTGCAGCTGTTATGCAAAGAGGATTCAGAGTTTTGCTGAAAGCAAAAATAATGAGAAAAAAAAACATTTTCATATGTGATCATTGTTTCATTGCTTCATTTAAATGACAAATGGAGCAAAGAAAACCTTTTAGCGTTATGAAAAACGTGCAACCGTCGTCTGGAGGAAATTATGAATCTTTAATTGAAATTTCATCAGTTTGCAAGTCAAATCTTGGATTCTGAGGGGGTTTTGATGGATTTGATTGCAGTTTTGATAATTGGTGGTTTCATTTTACAGTTACGTTCAGGCTGTACATTGTTTTAAAGCACTTTAGAAAACTTCAAGGACTATTTGGCCTTCATGTGCGTAATAAGGGAAGTTGTTTCCATGAGTCTAGTATGATGGTTTTGTTATCGAGCGGATCAAAAACAAATTCAAAGATGAAGACTTACTTTTCTAAATTATTCTTCATCAGTTGAAAGTTAATTAGTTATAGGTTGTTTTTTATTTATTCTTGGAGATAAACCTGTTGGTTGTGAGTGGAGCCAGTTGGATGTGAAATGATTTCTTTTTTGTGGTTCAGAAAACTTTGCAGAACTAAGTGAAGATTTGCTGCTTTACGCTCATCTGCGTGGGGCAGGCAGCATGTTTTTCTCTCTCTCTCTCTCTCTGTGTGTGTGTGTATGTGTGTGTGTGTAAGTGTGTGTGTGTAAGTGTGTGGGATAGTCTTGGGTGGGATCATGTTTGAAGTTTTGTTTGTGCTGCCGTGGCCCCCCAAATGGAAAAGTTTTGACGCTCCCTTTCCTCATGAACCCCCCGCACGCACACACACACACACACACACACACACACACCACCCCACCCCTGGTCCATTCCCAACACGCACACAAGAACCCACACGCCAGGAGTCGGGATGATTTGCCGGTTCCGCTGCTGTGCCACTCTGCTTCCAATTTTAGCTTCATTCAGACACAGACAGCATTTCCTTCCTCCGTCTTCAACCCCTGGGAGATACAGGGAGGAGGTGGGGGGG